CCTTATCTCAATTAGCAAAAACCCTTGTTCCTTCCTATTATTGCTTATATTCTCTCTTCAACAAAATTAGAGATAAGGGCAAAATAGTTTCTGCCAGGTAGCAAGGGGGTGGGGGGGGAGAGGTAGGGGGGCAGGGGCAAGGGGGGAGAAATGAGCAAAGCATTGTATGCACATATGAATAAAAAAATAAAAATTTTTTTAAAAAGTCCATGAAGGGTGTGGTAGTACACATCTGTAATCCCAGCACTCAGAAGACTGATGATGCAGGGCTGAGCTTGAGGCCAGCCTGGACAATTAGTGAGACCCTCTCTCAAAACCAAAATACAGCCAGGCACTGATGGCTCACACCTATAATCCTACCTACTTGGGAGGCTGAGCTCAAAAGGATCAGTTTTTGAGGCCAGCCCATCTCCAAAATAACCAGGTTGAGTAAAATGGACTGGAGGTGTGGCTCAAGCAGTAGAGCACCTGCTTTTGTGAAGAGCAAAGTCCTGAACTTTAACTCACACTCACACCCCCAAAATGGCAACGTGGAACTTTTAGCTACTTCAACTTAACTTGCAAATGGAGATTGTCATTTTGGTTCTAATCAACCAACATAATATATCATTAACATATTATTAATGTTAATCATAATGTTAATAACATGTTAATAATATGTTAATAATTATTAACATTATCAACATATTATTAATATATTAACATAATTACCAATTATGCTAATATTCCCTCTTAAGAAATACTATTTGGGCACATATGAATAAAAAACAACTATTTGGTACTCCCTACAGAAAGGCATTTTGTTCCCAGTGGAGCTGACTTTCAAGAATGAGGCAAAAACATAAAGCAAACTCAATTCTAAAATCTAAAGTCTATGGGTGCCCCTCAGTGGCAGAATGCTTGCCTGGCATGGGCTACACCCTGGGTTCAAAAAAAATCCATTACGTACAACCTAGAAGACATGCCGTACATACAAAGTTCAAAAGCCGACAGCAGATCAGGAATTGTGACTTCCAGTCACCCCTTGCCACTGGCACCTCTCAGCCAAGCCTGAAGGCCTCCTGAACATGCAGGCCATGCAGTGGGTGCTGGCACCTCACCCCTTTGCCTTCTGCACATGCTTAGCTAAGTACAGGCTTCAGATCAGGTCCTATACAGCCAGACCAAAACAGTCCCTCCATAAGGGCCCTAAAGCCAAGTTTACCTGCTGTTGCACTGGAGGGAAGAGAAGTCTGAAGTACACAAACAGCCTCAGCTGACGAGCCTCTCTGCCACAGCCAGAGACATAGACTTATGCCCCAGGTGGGAACAGAGCACCAAAAAAAGAGTCCACATGATACTGAAGCATAGACAAGACAAAGTGCACTTTTTAAAAGGAAGATTTATTTGACAAGTTTCACTTAGCGCAATACACCTAAAAGGAAATCACAATACAATGAAAGATTTAAATCAAGGCCTCAGAATTTCAAACAAACACCAAGACCAAAATCCTAAAGTATTGGTATTGCGTCTCAAAATTTCCCCCTTAACTTAAAAAAAAAGCTTAAACTCACGTGCCTTACAGGTTATCAAATGAAACTAGAATTAACAAACATGCCAAATGTTTCACTTTTAATTGTAGACACAGCTCCTATATTGAGTTTTACAAAAAAGCATGTCTTTCAACATGCATTCAAACAGTGTTCAATGTAATGTGGTATAAGAGCAACATTTAACATAATTCAACTGCTTTAACCTAAATACGCTTACTGCTTAAGTACATCCTACAATATGACTAACTGGAGAAAAAGCTGAAAATTGCTTAACGGTTATAATTTCCTCAACTTCGCTGGGACATCTAGATGACTCCTGTGTTGACCAAGTCCTTAAAACACTGCCAATCTCCACTTTTAGAGTAAGCATAAATCACAGGCTTGACTGCAAAAACTGTTAAACTGAAGTTTTGTTTTTTTTTTTAAAAAGCTGACCAAGAGTCAGTGATGAGGATCAATTACATTCCCCACCCAGCACTCATACTGGGTACGCTAGCCATCCCTCCCACTCCGCTCACGCCCAGAGACGTGTGGCTTCCACTACTGTAGTAGGTGCTGCTCGCCGCTCCTTGGCTGCCTGCAAAGAGATCCATTTGACAAGTTAGCAGGTGTCAGATGATCGGCCAGATCAAATAAAGCATCCCAGAAAAAGTGTGAAAGGTATGCGAGTACAAACGGCTGCTGTCCAAATGGTGAGAAGCGTGTTTGGGAAAAGGGAATCCTGACTCCCAACAGGTCTCGATTAACCCCTTTTCTCTGCAGTTACCAACTTGCCAGACTCTTGTGCTACCATTTAAATGGATTCTTCAGGATCAACGTGAGAAATTAAGTTTAAAGGAAAACTAGTGTTTTTCAAAAATTGCAAAATTACTTCACGTTTTTAATGCTAAACAAGGCATTTAAAAAAAATTTACCATAAGCATTCAGTGTGTCCACTGAATGGCACATGAATAGGGGCACAGGGGAAGTCTCTTGCTTTTCCTAGTCATTGTGGGCAGGAAGTGAGACCACAAAACTGGACTAGAGGCAACTCACTGTGCCCAAAATGGCAGCCTCCACGGAGCTAAGTCAGGGCCATTGACTGCTACAGAAAGTGTTATTACGACATATGAGTATTTGCTATTGGGAATTTATATTTTTTGAGAAAATATTTACCTATGCAATGTTTGATTGAAAATCACTGGAGTTTTCCTGTAAAACTTGGTCTGCAAAAGGATTTTGTAGGGTAAGACTATAATACCAAAATCACCATTCTTTAGACCAATTGAAAAAAATTAATAAAACCATCCCTAGGTTAACTGACTAGTAAATACGGTCCTGAGCCCAACCACCATCCTATCATTTAAAAATCTATCTCATCAAAAATTGATTTAATGCTACCCAAGATAGACAAAGTGAACTACTTTAATGTTTTAATAAATGAAGGCAAATTATTTTCTGGCTCGACAGTAATCCAAAATTGTAATTACTAATTTTTAATTCATAGAACACTTCTCCCTCCCAATGACTGTTTCTGAAAATTAAACTATCAAGAACAACTAGAACCAAAGCATACACTTAGTAACCCATCTCACCAAAAAGAGCCTACAATCCCCACCAACTACAGAAACCTACCTAAGACTCACTCTAAACACATCAAAAGACATGCTTACCGTATCCACTCATGCTGCTCTGGCCGCCATAGCCACCTCCATAACCTCCACTCAGCTGCTGGCTGGCTGGGCCACCATAACTGGATTGGTTTGCTGTTAAGTTAAGAGAACATTAGAGCCTTGCTCCTTATGTAGTGTGGTACCTGGTGGTACCGGGCTTGTTAACTCTAGATCTATGGTTTTCCAGTCTTGATCTTACATTACTATAACCCTCTGCCTCCTGCCTATTGTCTATTACCAGACTAACTTCTGTATTCATCATGAGCTAGTTACATATTTATAAGCCAAATGGTTAACAATACACACATCAGCAGGACTAAATCCATGATTCCATAAGTAGAGGCATTTTGTGAGGATCTTATGAAACTGTTTGACTGGATTTAGTGGGGTTTTACCTTAGCTTGATATATCAAGATATCGATACACAAATACCACTAAACACCTAATTATGCCCAACTAATTATACCCCCAAAATTAAAGTCCTTTTACTCATGTTCTTGCTATTTTAGGTTTAAATTTTTAAATATAATTTAACTAGTTCTATTCAGTAGTCCCCTCCCCCAAATATATTTAAATCTCATTTAAATTATCTATCCTAAGCAGTTTCACATTAACACGTAAGATTTTAGTAATTGTAAAAATCGATTCAAATTAAGAATCTGCTTTGCCTAAATTAAATTGTTATGCTAACTTAGGTTCTTATACTAAACTAATTATTAAATATATATTTAACTTAACTTACAGACTTATACAGATATAAACGTTTTGGTTTTTAAAAAAACTAACGATATTTACACAAGCCCATGCCTCCCATCATTTGGCTACCATAAGCACCACCGCTTGCTCCTGCTGTAGAATTCAAGAAGAGTTCTACATATCTGTGTTCTGAAATGAGAGAAAAGGCATACAAGGTTAGCTTAAAAAAAGACACTAAAGTGATATTTACACAAACCCATGCCTCCTAGCATTTGGCTACCGTAAGCACCACCGCTTGCTCCTGCTGTAGAATTCAAGAAGAGTTCTACATATCTGTGTTCTGAAATGAGAAAAAAAAAGGTTGAAAATGTTTGTTGATGAAAGATTAACAAGATAACCACTTTTAAGTTCTTTAAACAAGTGTATCTGTGAACCTTAAATACTTTTGGCAAAAATTTCTAACTGCTGCTGTTTGTGAATACTAGCCTTTAAACAGCTCGTATTAAATTAAGGACAAACCAAGATATGAACATCACAAATCTCCCTCACCTGTAACTGACAACCCACAAACCTTTTTTCCAACACATCCAACTGAGCCATCACTGGAGGTCTCATACATCCTTACTATTCTACTCCTCTATCTTAAGTGCTTGTGACACAAACACCTAACAGCCCCCAAATGCTTTAATTACACTTACGCATATTTGCTTTGTCTTTTGACATAGCTGCCACAGCATCTTCATGAGTTGCAAACTCAACATCTGCTTCACCAGTTACTCTGCCATCAGGACCAATCTCAATGTGTACTCTCACAGGGTTGAGCGGTGAAAAAAACTAAAACACAAGATTGATTCTGTATTAACAAAAAGAACCCTAATTTCATTACGTGGTGATCCATGATCACTAAGTAGAATCAGACCCAAGTTTTTACTTCAATCTTATACTTACATTATAAATGTCATTCTCGGTAGCTCTGTATGGTAATCCCCGCATGTGTACACAATGTCCAGTTGTGCTCTGGAAAGTAGAGCCACCATCCCCATATCTGTGATCAGACATCCCTGAAAAACAGTAATTGAGGTCTAGATGGACAAGTGTAAGCACCCTTTAGCTGAGGAATTCAATTCTTACCTTACCTCTTCCAAACCTATCTGATCCAAATCCATAGCCATCATTGTAGCCATTGTAATCATCATAGCCTCCATAGCCTGAAAGACAAACAAGTGCAGTTTAAGTCAAAAGAAAATACCTAGACAAACTGGTCCAAGCTTGCATAATATCACATCCATACCTCCACCATAAGCACCACGCCTCATCCTCTCAAAGCCAGCTCCTCTGCCAATGCTGTTATACCCTCTGCCAGCACCAGGTCTGTCATAGGGACCTGGTCGCTGCATGGCCATAAGCTTTCGTGGTGGGTCATAGTGAGTTCTAACTTCAGCTCGACTGCTCTTAAAAATTTCGATATACCTAAAGCATTGTTCAAGAGGGGAATGGGGAGGGGAGAAGAAACATTAGTTCATTTCATACAGGCACTCAGTTACACAAGAAAACAATCTAGTCATAGCCATGAAACTGACTAGTATTTAAAGCCAGATTTCTTATATTTGCATAGGCAATGACCAGAAATTCACTCAATACTATTAAATGTGAACTTTATAGGAAAAAAAAAAAAAAACAAAACACTCCTCTGAGGCAGAGCCCAACCTTAGGGGTAGAGAGGAGTATTATATATAAATGGTTTAGGAGGGAAAGAATTCCACTCAACTTTCAACAATTCAACTCTAAATTCGTCGGCAGCATGTATAGCAAGTGGGCTAAAAAGCCAGCCTTCACCAACAGTCTAGCCCACACTACACACTTCCATTTGCCAGTAAACATCCCAGCCTATGCTTTTAGTAGGAATCAGCATAGGTAAGCGCATGCTTCAATGAAAAATAGTCACAAGCAAAGAGAATAAAACCTTTTGTGACAATTTCTTGAAAGCTATGCTTATTAATAATACATATGCAAGAATATTTATACAGCAAGAAAAAGTTTGTTGCATTTCAACTTTAAAAACAAGATCAGAAAGTATCACATTTTCTTATGGTAATATTAATTTACTATGTGGGTGTTATTACAGCTAAAGCCAGGTTTGCATTAATTTTTTAAAGCCATAGTCTCTCAACTCCATTTATGGGGGTTAGGTTATTAGAATCTTACAAAATTGTTAAAGTAGACCAAATAAACTGCGGACAATTTTGAAGCTTAAAATTTAGTTTGAATGCAATGTAGGACACTGACATGGGAAAAGTCTGAAAACTGTGGCAAATCAATTAACTGGGACTAGGAAACAGATCAATTTCCTCCTTTAAGCAGAGAGAATATGGATTTAATTGTTTACCATAAGAAAAGTGACATATCCAACCAACCATCCATCCCCACCTGTGCCCTATTCTTTCCTTGTGTTTCTTTAGAGCCTTTTCAGCTATTTCCTGTGAAGCAAACTGCACGAAGGCCTCCCCCGTACTCCTCCCCTGGAAGTCCACCGGCAATGTTATCCCATTTGGCACGATTTCCAACCCTTCAACCCAAGGACAAATAACCCCAGTAGGGGGGCAATATTAACATCACAAGCCCAGAAATGATTCTTCTTATAGCTTTAAATAAACCAGAATTTTAACTTTAGGTGAATGGTATGCTTTCAACAAGTACTTGTTAAATATACATTGCAATAATATGAAGTTCCACTGTTACAAAGTATAACAATTCTTAACACACCCATGGCACAGTTCATACATTAAAAAAACTGGAACTTGCTGCTCCACAGGGTGCATTAAGAATTCAACAATTAAAACACTCTTATCTATGCAATTTAATGTTGAAAATTATACAAGAATTTAATAAAGTTTCAAGCATTAAAATAACAGTTTTACTAAAATCAGACACCTTTTACCTAATGTCATATTTCAATGCTTTAAATTATTGGAACTTCAAGTTTAAAAACATACACATTTAAACATTCTATATAAAAATTGAAACATTACTTAAATCAATTGACAAACATACAGTCTAAACTTTCAACAAACAACTATCTACACAGCACAATCATGCACTCTTATGCTCTAACAGCAGTATGATTCACTTCTGGAAATTCCGTCTATGAAAAATCCTTTCCGTGGATACATTCCCAAGCTTACAAAAAGGCCTTAAAGCACTTTCCTAGAAGATATGAAATTATGTTCATATTTAACGTTGACAGATAGCATTCAATTCTCACCAATTTAGATACAACAAACAGACTTGATTTCAAACTGACAAAATAGGACTGGATACATCTTATAGTCAAAATTGTAATGCATACTACACTAAACCATGAAAGGATTTCTTGCTCTTAAATTCCAGTTTATCACATCAAGAGTATTAATAATAGAATTGAAAATATATGATCTAACATTCTGCTAAACATGCAATCTTATCAGCTCTTCAGCATAAAAACATTCAAATACTTTAGGCCCAAAACAATTTCAAAAAACTTTCTGATACTAGACTACAAGCATTCAACCTATACTCACTACATTTGACTTAAAGAAATGGTTTGAAATACACTGGCTACACCATGTTGTTTCCATAATGGCTTTTCTTGCTAACAGAATTAGGCCATTAGAAATATGTCTGGTCACATGACCTAAAGTGTCTGACAACAGACACAGTAAGCTACAACAGTCTAAGACTCATGCTGATCTAATGTCAAGGGATCTTACCTTTAACTTGATGTACAGCAATGAGAGGAAGTAGTTAAGCTGTTGAGGACAATCCTCAAAGATCTACTCTCAACTACAATACTAAATATAGGCAAAATTAACATTGTGGAAGCACTTCTAGTTTCCACCTTTAAGATGGGCTTAAGTTATTTGAAGGTCTCCAGGAAGAAAAGTCATTGGCATATACTCACAACCTATTAAGTACCTGAGCTACTCAACTTTAACATCTATTAAGTCATGTTGCCAGAAGCTAGCCATAACTCACTGCTCAGCAACAAAACAGGACTACATACCTGAGAAGAACTGAACAATTTCTTCCTTGCTACATCCAAAGGGGAGTCCTCTAAGCCGTACAAAGCCATCATTGGCCGTGTCAGGACTATTTGGACCAGTATGCTTCAACACCCAATCCATTTCAACGTTGTTTGACTTGAATACTGAAAAAGGTGCTTAGAATTAGTCAATTTTGGAAAGTTAGAAAACAAGGTTTAGATAAGCTAGGAAGAGCTGCCACAAACTCCCTTAGATGACCATTTCCATGCGGTCAAATACCTAAAATTCAGAAGGGGAAGACCTCTATGTGTTTAGCATTTACTGTTACTAGGGCAATGTAAATCAAACCTTCAACATATCTGTGTCCCATAGTTTCTCTGTCTTTTTTCAGGGCCAATTTGACTTCATCTTCTGATTCAAGTTCAACAAAAGCCTCGCCACTCGGTCTGCCTTCTCTGGTGTAGATGAAACGAATACCTTGGGCCCCATTTTGAATTTTGCAGTCTGAAAAGAAAAGAGTCGTTAATATGGAATTTAAAGCCGTGTCTAGGTGAGACAGATCTATGTGACCACTAAAGTCACCTGTGAACCTAACATGACCCAATTGTCACCAACTCCTCCTAACACATCTCTTCATTACTTTAGTTAACCCTCATGCCAAACTGTCTCATCCCCTAAATGACACATTCCCAATGAAGAAAATCCAGGACTAGTGGCCCAGCTCAAGGGGTGGAGCATTTGTCTAGCAAGTTCGAGGCCCTGAGTTCAGTCCCCAGAGATGCAAAATAAAAGACAGTAAATAAAGTGGATTCATCATTATAAGGGTTTCAAAAGACTTAAGAAAAGCCAGTATTTACAACATTTTTTAAGGACTGTATCTGTGTAGCTCAGACTAGCCTTGAAGTGGTGGAATTACAGGTGTGCTCCACCACACCCCGACTCAAAGCAGTTTCTTTTGATACTGGCGATTGAACTCAGGACCTCCACTGAATCATGCCCCCAATTCTTCAAAAGCAACTTCTTAATCAAGCTATCACTAAGACACTTTAATCTCCACTAAGTGACCTCTTTTATAACTTCTCAGAAAAATACCACATCTGGAACTGGTGACATTATGGCACTTTCTGAACATAGCTAAGAGTTTTGGTGGGGATAGTTTGCCAGTTTCACCTTACCAGCAGCCACATTACGATTTCTGACTCAAATCCAAATTGCAGGCCCAGTACTCACCTGACAGGGGATCAGTGTTACCAAGCTAAAACGTTCCAAGTTGCACAGCTGAAGCCAAACCCAGTCTTGCCCCCTGCAAAAGTGGCTTCCAGTATACTTGGTTCTTGTTTTACAGGTCGTTTTCTGTTACCATAGCTAAATTCAAATAGCATGTCAACACTACAGGTAACTTTTCCAAAACCTGTCAATTTCTTCCAAATCCATCATATATCTGCTCTTTACGCTAACAATGGGTGCAAGGAGATTCTGGTAGAAACTATTCCGGAAGCCTACATACAGCAAAAAAGAAATAGCAAGAAAACTTCTCTGGGCTTCAGTGTCCTAAACTGTAAAGTGAGCCAGTCCAAGAAACAAGTCTTCAATTACCAAGTCACAATAAGGAAAGCGGTCTACCTTTACGAAGCAGAATGCCTCGTTTCAAGGGAATACCAAAGTTGAAAACAAGTAGTAACGTTTTAAGATAGTGCAAATTATTACTATCGTTTACCCAGGAAAAATTTTAAAATTGAAGGAAAAACCTCATCTAATCCCAATTTAAACTTTCGAAAAATGACATCCGTGGTAGACGGGCTGGCACTTAAAAGATTAGAAAAATAGAGGAAAAAATATCGGCGCGGGCAGGCTGCACCCCCCCCCCCGAAGGTGGTGAGGAGGGCGGGCGGGGCTTTCGCAATTTCCATTGCGTAATAGCGGCCGGACGGGCTCGAGCCGCTCGGCGGGAGCTGCTTCTCCGCGCGCCCCGCCAGGGGGCGCCCCCGGCCCGATCCGATCAGGTCCGACCCGCCCGTCCCGCCCCGCCCCGCCCCGCTCCTGCCCGGCCCTGCCGCCCGCCCGCGGGTCCCGGCTACAACTCCCGCCAGCGGCTTCCACTCACCGGAGAAAAAACGCTGCACTTCATCGGCCGAGCAAGACCAGGGCAAACCCCGAACCTTCACCACGAATCCTTCTCCGCCTTCGGTGCCCAACATCATGGTCTCTTCGAAGGTCCTGGCGTCCAAACAGACTGCAAGACCGGGATGAGGATCAGACCTGAGAAACATTCATTAAGCAGTACCCCAACATCGAGGCGCCCCGCGGGCTCCCCGGCGCCGCAATAGGAGCACCATCCGTGCGGATGGATGCCCTAACCCCAGGGACTCCAGCACCCAACACCCCTTCCGCTAGCGACCTGACTCCTGAAGCCGCTTAGAACGCTAGGTGTCGGGGCCCCAAGCACCGGAGATCCCGGCCTAGGGCCAGCGTGGAGGCAGGGAAATGGCGGCGGCCGCTTCCGCTCCGCCTCCTCCGACATCTCACACAATGGAGTCGGCGCGGCCTGCAGGCCTAGGCGGCGCTGCCAAGGCCCAAAGAGAGATTCGCGGCTCCGAGCAGCTGCCCATAGCTTGCCACGGCCCCCTAGGCTCTACCAGAGGCTCGGAGACAAGCAATCGTTGCAAAAACGGTATCTTCAAGGATCGCAGGACCGCAAACAAGGACCTGCAGACACTCACCTACACGCACTGCTTCAGTGTGGCTGAGCAGAAATGGCCAGCGGGCGCCTGCGCAACCTAAATAAGGCCCTTTGAGCCACGTCTGCGCACGCGCAGTCAGGTTCTCGCTCCGCCTCCTCTTGCGACACACACAGCTCAAGCGTGTGCGTAGTATCACGAGCCGGCCCGCCTCCCGCCAGCAGATTATTGCACGCATGCGTACGGGCTCAGCCCTCTGCCTCTGTAAACCTGCCGAGTTCATTTTGCGCCTGCGCCTTCGTGCAACTATTGAACGGGCTTTAGCGGTTTATAATTTAGTGTCAGGCGCATGCGTCTTCCTTTAAACCGTTCTCCAGCTTTACCCGCCAGAGTGGGGGAGGGGAATGGCGGCAATCAGTTCCCTATAGGGACTGTATGGTATTCCTGACCTAAGGGTTTGTAGAGATAGCTGTCTTCCTACCCCTCCAGCCTTTTTTATCCGAGCTCCTGGCCGACCTGCAGGAACAGAAGCGGCCTTACTTTTCCCCGCCGGTCCCCTTTTCTCCCAAGAGCCTAGACTGCGCTAACCAGCCCCATTCTGCAGAACCTCTGAGTGCTGCCCTGCCGGGGACTTCCCGCGCCCGAAGCCACCACTCTCACCCCCAGCGCTTGGGGCACATCCAAGGCATGTGTGCCTCCACTGCCCCTTACCTGCAGCCTTAGGGCCAGAGGCCCCAGCCCGCAAGGGGTCCCCGTGCCAAAGTCCTGTACCCCGTTTTCGCCTAACGAACTCGCACCCTGCGAACGCCCTGCCCGCAGGGTCGGTGGGCCCTGAATGCCGCGGGGCTCCCGCACGAGAAGAGGCCGCCCAGTGCAGAAGAGGCCGCCTCAGCGCCTCGTGAGCGCAGGCTGAGTCTGCAGGTGCGCGCAGCACTCGGCACCCAGACCGCTGCTCCCCGAAGGGTTCCCGCCTTATCTTCCCAAGGCTGAGTAAGTACCAGCGCATCCGTATACCAGGTGGAGACACCGAGTACGAGGAGGCCCCGGGGTCACCCCGTGTGCACATAGGGCGAGAAATAAGGTTTGTATTTCCATCAGCTGTACAGGAAACTGGGCTCCTTCCTCGAGCCTTCCAAGCCTCTCCGGGTCTGATCAGCCTGTCCTCCACCCCACCCCAGCTCTGACAGACACAGGCAAGAAACAAATGAACAATAAGGCAGTGTTGGACAGTGCCGGAGGGGTTAGTGAGCCTCTAGCAAAGCATGCTTTTTCCTCCCAAGTGCAAAGGAAAAAAACGGTTATCAAAGGAGAGGTAGGAGCCTAGAGGTATAGGCAGAGCTGATCCCTTTAAATCTTAGTACGGGTGTTAACTCCAAGTGCTCAGGAAGGTGCCAAAGTGCCTCCAGTCTTCAGCAGGGAAACAATAGGAGCTGTTTTGTAAGGGAAAGTTTGCTGGGTGTGAAACAGAAGATGAAACTGGCAGGGAAGTAAATATCCTCAACTGCAAACAGGCGAAAAGTCCTCAACTGGTCTTCCAGCCAGGAGGTCTATCCCTGGGCATTCAAAAGCAGAACATGACACAGGTCACCTCTTCTCCTTAATGAGTTTTGCACTTGACAGCTGTGGTCTCTTAGAATACCTATGAACCCCTGTTTCCCAATAGATGAGCGGAAGCCCCAAATCCCTTCAGTAGTGCATTGTTGTTTTGTTTTTCCCCATGACAGTACTGGAGTTTGAGCTCAGCGCCCCAGCTCACTAGGCAAGCACTCTCTACCTCTTGAGTCACTTCTCTAATCCTTTTGCTTTAGCCTATTTTTCAGATAGGGTCTTGCTTTTTTTTTTTCTCCCCAGGGGCAGCCTTGGACCATCTACTTAATGCCTCCTGGGATTACAGGATAGCACTACTGTGCCCTTTTTTGTTTGTTTGTTTTTATCATCTTTTTCACCCTGCCTAGCAGTGTGTCTGTAGTACTAGCTGCTGTGCATGCTGAGACGGGAGGATCACTTGAGCCCAAGAGTCCCAGGCCAGCCTGGGCATGGTCACACTCTCAAGGAAAAAAATAACAAAATCATCTTTTAACAACATGCCACACTCCTAAGATATTTACTTTTCCTAATTCCTTTCTAAAACTTTCTGGATTTTCTTCTATAGTAAAGACTAACTATAATGTATCATCACCACAGAAAGATATGGTCATTTCCTTAGGATAGAGGTCTAGAAGTACAATTAGCCAATCAAAGGCTCTGAGTGTTTTTATGGCTACTAATAATAAAAAGTTGTAGCACTAGACAATCCTCTCTGGTGTGTCAGGGTTCCATTAACCACCATTTCCTTTCCTCTAATCTTTGCTAAATTAATACCGAGGGGGAAAAAACTGTATCCCTAATTTGTATCTGATTACTAATGAGGTGAACTAAACTTCATGTGTTATATAGCCAACCCCTTTTTATGTAAATTCTCTGACCTATAAATAAAGTTTCAGGCTGGTGGAGTGGCTCAAGTGGTAGAGCACCTGCCAAGCAAGCATGAGGCCCTGAGTTCAAACCCCAGTGCCATCAAAAAAAAAAAAAAAAAAAGTTCCTCATAGGGCAGGAGTGATGACCCATGTCTGTCATCCCAGCTAGGAGGGAGATATAATAGGATCATTGTGGGAGGCCCTTGCTAGAGGCAAAAAAAAGGGCTGGGGGTGTAGCTCACATGGTAGGGTGTCTGCCTAAAAAGGTTTTTCACATAAAATGTTTGATTTCTTAGACTGGGTGTGGTGGATCATGCCTGTAATCCCAGTATTTAGGAGACAGACATAGGATGAGAGTTTGAGGCAATCTGGGCTACATAAAATCTGGGCTCAAAAAGAAAACTTCTTTCCTCACTGATCTTTTGGTTTTGGTGTCATTTTCTTCTTTTTTGGTGCTACTGGTCAGCCCTAAAATTCTTTTTTTTTTTTTTGGCAATACTGGGATTTGAACTCAGAACCTCATGCTCCACCACTTGATCCACTCTATCAGCCCTAGTTTGCTTACCTTTTAATTGATGTTCTTTTTTTTTTTTTCTTTCCTTTCAGTATTTGGGTTTGAACTCAGCGACTACACCTTGAACCACTCACCAACACTTTTTTGTTGGTTTTTTTCAAGATAGGTCTCCCAAACTATTTTCCTGGGGCTGGCTTTGAACCTCCATCCTCCTGATCTCTGTCTTCTGAGTAGCTAGGATTATAGGTGTGAGCCACCAGCGCCCAGCTGTTCTATTGATTTTTAAAGTTTAAAGATACAGAAATTTTTAACTTGACACCAAAGCCATGAATATGTACCTTTGAAGTTCATTTTTTTTAACAGTTTGACCTCTCTAAAATAGAAATGTATCTTAAAATCAATGGCATGTCATAGTTTAATTTTTTTGAGACAAGTTCTCCCTATGTAGCTCAGGCTGGCCAGGAACTCATGATCTTCCTACCTCAGCCTCCTGAGGAACATAATAGTAAGTCACAAAACAATTGGTGGAGTGACTCAAGCCATAAGAGCTCCTGCCTAGCAAGTGTGAGGCCCTGAGTTCAAACATCAGTGCCACAAAAAATAGTTTGGAGATGAGGAAGGCAGGAAAAGATTGATAAATTTGATTACATAAAATTTTTTTTTAACAGCACAAAAAAACCAACTTGTTTGTTTCACAGCCTGGAGCTGTAATTCTCCTGATCTCAACCTTACAAGAAGCTAGGATTAGAGGCATGAGCCACCAGCGACTGCACATTTTTTGCAATAATTAATGTAACATTGATAAATAATTTTACATGGTTGATGTACCACTTGTTTATAAAAAAAAAAGGCAACTATTTGCCAGAACTGGCTTCAAACCTTGATCCTCCTGATCTCTGCCTCCTGAGTAACTAGGATTACAGGTGTGAGCCACCAGCTCCCTGCAAGTCCTGTACTTACAAAGTTTTGAGGTGAAGAAGGTGTGAAATCAGATATAACCACAAAGGGAAAGATTGATATATCTGATTACATGAAAATATTTTTTCTGGGGTACTGGGGATTGAACCCAGGGTCTTGCATAGATGCTGAGCAAGCACTTTACCAGTGAGCTACATCCCTGGTCCAAAAATAATTTTTTCTTTCCAGTACTGGGGCTAGCATTACAGGTTTGAGCTACCAGCATTGGCCAAAAATAATTTTCAAAATGCTGCATGAAATAAAGTATGGAAATCAAGAGGCAAATAATAAACTGAAAAAAATTGCAACACGTATGAAACAGAGATGAAGAAACCTGTACCCTAGTGGTGTGTAAAATATACACAAACATAAGACAGTGGACTCTCCATCTCAGTGGGCTTCCCATCCCTGGATTCAAGGTCCCTCAGATTGAAAATATTCAGAAAAAAACTGTGTGTCTGTATTGAATATACACAAGCTTTTTTCCTCATCATTATTCCATAAACAATTAAAAAACACAACAATTTGTGTCTAGAGGAGGATTTGTGGTCATTTTCTACTTAAGGGACTTAGCTGGGTTGTAGCTCAGTGGTAGGAGTGCCCATGTAAGAGGTGCAAGGTCTTAGGTTCCGTCCCCAGCACTGCAAGAAAAAAAAAAAAATGTGTATCAGGGACTAGATTTTGGTATTCTGGGGGGAGTGGGGAAGGGTTGGTCCTGAAACTAAATCCCTTCAAATACCAAGGAATAACTGCACACATCATATATGTGCTATTATAATTTTATGTGGTGGGAAATTAAGAAACAATATCTCATTAGGGTGGGAGATCATGCAAAAAAAGTTGAGAAAATCTGATCTGTATAAGAAATTATTTCACAGCTATTAGAAATGGTGATGAGTATACTTTTGACTGGGAAGATGTTTACAGTCTTCCTGGATTGAAAAAAGCAATATACAAGACAGCACAGCAGCACTCAGTTTTCTGAGACGTCTAAGTGCCCCCATACACAGAAAAACGTATCTGCAAAAGATGCAGTCCAGAATATTCAGAGACTACCTTTCAGGTGGGAGCGTGGGTGGATTGCTTTTTTTTTTCTTCTTCTTAGTATTTGTGATCGTTTTGATACTGAACACATGTAGATA